ATTCCATAAAACTACGCCCATAGGATACTCTGTAGAAAAATGATTCTATCGTCAAAATTTAGGGGAAATACTGCATACTATCTGTCCAAATGGAGATATAAAATGGTCAGTATTAAGGCTTCTGCAATAAAGAAACCAGTCTACTCTTGCTTATCCATTTTCACAAACATTTTTGGTATTAGAGCTCTTTCCTTGTCACACCTGTCGACATCATATGGGGCTCGTATTAAGAAGAACATGCTCCAGGAAATACCACACCAGGTGCTCTTAAAGGTCCCTTTTTTGCTTCCACAGTCCCAGAGTCTAGCATCGATTTTTTCTGGCTACAGAGTTATTTTTTTTTCAGTACTCTTTTAGCTTTCCTTCTCCAAAGAATGCTGCCTTTAATTTCTTAACAATGTGAGACTCTGCCAGTGTAATTTGCTGACTTTTCAGACTGGAGATGCATCAGCCAATCAAGTTGCAAATTCTCCTAGAGAAACTAAAATGACAGTGATCACCCGTCTTTGGATGACAATTATAATTAGCATCTTGAAATAAAGCAAGGACATATGCAGACACATTTTTAGATTACTACTAGTTTTCATAATCCACAGATTTCTTCACACATGCCAAAATAGAGTATCAAATTCCTTCTTAGCATTACAAAAACTATGCACACAATATCCAATATTTAATAACATGTTTAATACGTAAACGGTGTTTAGAAAATCCTAAATATAAGGTAACCTTGCTTATCCAGACTGTTTGTTTAAATTTCCAGGTTATCTCACCAATTATGTAAAACAAGGAATTGTTTATCCTGCTGAGAGATGATAGGGCAAGGCTGTCTTCCCAGCATGAGGCTGTCTGAAATTCCTGAAATGGGGACAAGTTCGAAGCAGCTCACAGTATTATTTGCATTTAATATATGGACCTATCTTATCTTGGTTTCAGCTATTTCAGATGTAACAAGTTGCATCATATGAACAACTACTCAGTTATCAACCCCTTTAGAAGTAAAATACGTCAATTTTAATAGTAATTATTAAATTACTATTTAATAATTAGTAATTATTAACAATACATGTTAATAAAGTTGTTCTCATAAAAGGATCAAATTAACAAGAAACAAGTTCAAGTCACCTAAAATGCATCTCAAGGAAATTACTGAGATGTATCAGGCCTAATGCTTAAACGATGTATGCTGAATTTATTTTAATTCTTGGCAAGAGGGTTGATTGTAGGTGAACCACATAGAATTGAGACAAGTAAATACTTGGAGTTTGTCTGGTATGACCACATGGAGACATAGATACCATGTCCTCAGACAGGCCCATATGTTGACCTGTAGAAGTATCTAATCTTAATGATGTTTTGAAATAATGAAGATATTATCTGACTTGATGTATCTTTTTATTGTCATACTCTCCTCTTCCCTGGGCTCCAAAACCTTCATGGATTCCATAATATCTCTATGCTAATCACTTCTAAAATCTAGATAGAATCAGAGTCTTAGAGTGGAGCAGGAATCTTAGATACCATATCCATATTTTAGACAGCATATCACATCTACAGCCTTCACCAGAGGAGATTCCTTTCAAAATATCTCTGACATCTGTTTATAGAGACTGCTCCACGCCCACTTGCCACTGAATGCAGTTAGAGACAAAGAGCTCACTGCTTAGAAAGCCATCTCATTCTTTTTGGCGTTTACATTTGGGCAGACTTATGAAATGCCTTTCTCCTAGTGGGTCAATCGGATCATTCTGTCCAATGACATTAGACCAGCCTAACTGCTCCTAAGTCCACCAAGACCCACCCCTTGAAACTCCCACTGATTTTAGCGCTACCTCTGGGATCTCAAAGAACCAGTCACCCTGACAGTGTACACCTTCCTACATTTGTGAAGACAGACATGGTAAAAGCGGTTTGAAATATTAATCTGTGTTTTTCCTTTTGTGTTTTCCCCTGTTCTTGTCTACCGTTCAAGCAGGAGGCAGGGTCTGTGCTCCCTTGTCTCAGGGGCAGTTAGTGGTAGGAAATTGACAACTCTCCTTTTCCCCTCCCGGGTTTTGTATCCCAAAAGCCAAAATTGGTTGGAGAGATTTTGCTAACTGATTCTGGACAAGAAAGAAGGCAGGGATGCTTTTAGTCCAACCAAAGCAGAGAGAAAGCTCCTTTAATAGCAACAGTAGGGGAAAAGGAGATATTTTCCCTCGCTCAGCCAGAGAAGAGAGAGGGCTCCTTGCCAATGTCCCAGAGAGGAGGGGCTTGCCTCCCTGCCTTGCCAAAGATCCTTGTTCCAGATGAAGTTCCAAATGAAGTCGGAGGCAGCAGAACCTCCATTCCTAAGGACCACGTGGTCTTGGTGGATTGTTTTCCAAATCGGAACTCTCCCCTTCGCTCCCTCAACTTCTTCTCTAACCCCATCCCTAGGACTTGGGGTCTTTGTTCTGCCCTGGATTAGGGTAAAGGCAGCTGCAAGCATGGTAAAATATCCTGCCTGTCCAGTGGGATGGAGGTTAAAGTAGAAAATGAGCTATTTCTTGCATGGCCAAGTTGGGGACCAAAGATTCATCTACACTACACAGCTATGTGTAGAGGTGGAATGGCATAGTGGACAGAGGTTTGTCAGAGTCAGACAGATCTAGCATAGAATCTTGGGGCTGATTTACTAATTCCTACCTCCAATAAGTTTCTTAACCAGGAACTTAGCTTTCTCCTCTAGAAAGTAAGGGTAATGTTACCTACTACGGTGGTTACAGAGGAGCATGCTCAGATTTCTCTGAGTGAGAACCTGCTGTGAGGAGTGTAGGCAGCAGACAGCCCTGAGTGGCTGCACCTTCAGGATCCACTGCAGCATTCAAGCTGAGGCCAACGCGCTCCCAGACAATTCCTGAGCACAGCAAGAGGGAAAGAACCTAGACACTTCTGCCTAACATGGACTCCTCTAATGGGCAATCTTTTCTCTGGGGATCCCCATCTATGTGACTGAGATTTTCTCAAGGCTGCATCATGGTCTGAGGCTCCTCCTACCCGTTCCTCCTTCCTTTCCCCTCTCCTTTCACAGGGTCAGACCTGCAGCAGGTCTGAAGGCTCTCCGTGCCAGTTCTCTTTTATCTCTCACAGGCATTTTCTCCAGGAAATATGCACTCCTACTTCCATTTAGGTCTCTGCTTCCCAGAAGAGCCAAACTGATATCATTATCTTTATTAGACTGTTCTAAAAATTGGAAACAATAACACAGTTCCTGACTTTGGGAAGTTAGTGTCCATCAACTGAGAAGTGTTATAGAGTTAAGGGCTGGGTAATACATTTTTCTATATTTGCTCAGTGCTTTAATCATACATTCCAATGTGTAAGTGGACTTCATCAGCAGGCACTGTGAAATTAGACTTCTTAACATAGTGCTCCAGACTCCAATCTATCCAAATTATCTGCAGGCAGGTAACCAGGTGCTGGGGAGGAAGGTTGTGAAGGGAGGAAATTGGCTTTGGAGCCAGATAGATCTAAATCTAATCCTAATTTTCTATGAAACTTTAGAGAAATCATTTAACCTCTCTGTCTTCCGTTGCCTCAACTATATAATGGAAATAATATTGCTTATCTTACTAGGTAATTGCAAGGATTAGAGATAGCCTATGTAATACAGCTAACACACTGTCTGACGAACTATAAGCATCTAATAAAATAATGCGTTATTACTCATTTCCTCTACATCCTTTCATTCATTCACTCATTCAATAAATATTTATCGTGGGCCTACTATGACAAGAATTTGAGATACAACAGTTAACCAGACAGGCACAAATCCTTACAGAACCTGAAAGGTTAGGCATGATACAGCGCAAAGTACATCCAGTGATTATAACAGAAACACTTAGATGGTGCTTATTATGTGCCAGACACTGTTCTAAGAGCTTTACCACATATTCCTTCATTGAGTCTTTACACCAACTCACTGAGGTAAGTACTTGCTCAAGATTACAAAACTAGGGATATAATCCTTGATGTGGATTTGAACCCAGGAAGTCTGGCTCCAGAGTTTATACTTTTAACAGCTATGCTGTGTTGCCTTTCTTAACATCTGAATTAGATTTTATGCTTCCACAGAGCATAACAGTCCTTACACAAGTATATAAAAAAATCTAGTGAATCAAATCAGTGGGAAAGACAGTTTCCCTTAGAGAAACACAGGCACAGAAATTAGTAAGTTAGCTGGGCCAGTATAGACACTGATCAACCACTGGGGATCCACGTGATAGCAGTTACCACACCCCCCGCCCTCCTCCGCCCTTCACCATTTGCCTGGCTTCCAACTCAGGAATTGGCTCTAGGAGAAAAGTTGCTATAATATGGCTTTTCACCTTACTTAATTAACCCTGACCTCTTCATCTGCTATAACCACAGTGCTCTTCCAGTTCCAATAAATTCTCAACCTTCAATGTCATAATCGTTTATGCCTATCAGAATTTTCAGGCAGAATAGTTAGGGAAAGTCAAATCAGTATGTTTTCTTTTTCTTTTCTTTTTATAAAAGTGTCCATATGACTGGAGAAAGTAGTTTGCTGAGTGTTTGCAAAGTAATCATGGTAGCGGTAACAACATCAGGCACCGGATACTAAGTTCACTTCCTGTTATATGGCAGACATCACCCAGCTCCGGATACCTGAGTGTAGTCAACACAACAGCATCAGTTTGTTCCAAGAAATTCTTTAGGTTTATTACAACATACCAATATCACCATCATTCTAGAATAAAAATGACAATGCTAATAAGAAAAAAAAAAAACACTCTCTCCTAATCGGTCAAGAATGATTAAGACAAAAAGTGATTGTACTTACTGGGGGGCATTGTGCAAGTTTATCAGCTGCCACCAGTTGCACATTTAAGTGTTTACTTTGGGACTTTCCTCTAGATTTAATCAACCGCTGTAAAACCTGATAGAAGAAGACATGAATCTGAGATACTGTCAATAAGTTGAAAGAAAACCAAATAAACCAAGATCCTTATTTATAGTCTGTTTAGCACTGAGTATTAATAGAGAGAAAATACAATGTGATAAATCATATTTATAAACTCCATAATGACATCATCCACTTACACTGGCTTTCAGTTATAGTGAATTTGATATGTTCATCCTATCCTTGCTCCATGTGAGGGTCTTGGTGGGATCTTGAGCTCCCACCCTAGATTTTACCCAGAGATTTCAAAGAGAGCCCTGCAAAAGTGGAGGAACCGATCTGTACCAAGTCATTTATGTCCAAATTCAGCTGAGTAATATTTTGATTCACTATCTCAATGTCAAATAAACATCAGAGTCATTTATATATTTAGTCCTTTTTGTCACCGATAACTATTGAGGCATTCCAGTTTAATTGTACACCAATAAGATGATTTCATGATAGGAATCTAAGCAAAACATTTGTACTGGTATGTTGCCACTATAAACCAGTGATATATTTGTCTTTTAAGTACTGTTATAATTACATTTTGCCGTACACTACCCTTTGCCTTAAAACTTTTTTGTAGCTGAAACAGGGCCCTTCCTATGAAAACAGTCCTAGTATATGAGGCTCTATGATACCTCAGCACGTATGTCATGAGAACTCTAGTTCCTGCATTTGTGAACCCCAGGATGACTGGGGCAGGGGGGAGAGAAATTGAAATCTATTCCACTGCAGTGAAGGGTGCTTAAATTCCCTTCAGTTTTGGGCAAAAGAGACTTCCAGGTGGTCAAGGCAATTTCAGTCCATCCTAATGATTCCTCAAAGGTCCTGGTTTGGTCAGGAGTCCCAAGTTCATCCTGCACAGAACCAGTGGCAGGGATGGAAGGCTGAGGACTTCGAAAGGGTTAGGGAAGGGCACAGCTTCTTTAGGCATCCACCCATGATGGGAGACATTACTGTTCTGGCTGGAAGTTTAATCAACATTTAGGGACTAGAATCCACAGTTGGAAGCACTGAAAAGCAACTGGTTATTCGTACCTTGCAAGTGTATCTGTTTCACCTTTTAGAACATCATCGCTTTTTAAAAATGAAAGAATACCCAAATCAAAAGTGACCAACTTGAGGCTGTCTCACTTTTATTTTTCTCTTCTCTGGTGGCATGAAGTATCCCATTGTGCTTAGTAACAGAATAATTATATTCCTTGAAGAACCCAACCTAAGCACAAATGTAAGAGTCTATATATAATGTTTCCATAAGAGATTTTATACAGCAGTGTTTGACTTTATATATGATAAATATAGATACCTTTCTTGAACTATGTATTCTCTCAACTGATGATATAAGAATCAATATTACCCAAGAAATTTACCAAGATAGAACCTAAAGTCTCTGAAAAACCAGAGTTGACTTTTCCTTACCTTTCTTATTTTTTTTTAAATTTCTATTAAACTCTTGCATAATTGTTTGGTGGCGGAAACACAATAGACCATGAGCTTTTGGAAGGAATGGACTGTTTTTTATTAGCTATCTCAGAATTTCTAGAATCTGTACAAATTGTGAGAATTAAAAACTGTACTTATTAAAAAGGGTCTAAAGAAGACATTCTCCTTGCCCACTAACAAAAAAGTACAAAGCACACACACACACACAAATAGAGCTTCTAATTCTTAAGATAGAAATGAGCTAATTACCTTTGGAGAAGAGACTTTCACATGAACAATAATTGGTGCTAAAGAAGTCTTTATAAGTTGTGCTGGGTGATTGATGGTGTCCGCATCAAGAACAACCAGTTGCAAAGATCTCGCCAACTCAAAGATTCTTTCAATTTCACTTTGTACTTCCGCTAAATGAGAAATAATAAAGAACAGGTCATGGTTACTTTTATTACTTAGTTCGTATATTTTAAAAATAGTACTCCTTTCAGATATGTTTGTCTACACTGAAAAACAGAACATTTTGAATTTACATATTCCTATCTAACTTAAGATCTTTTCTAAAGACAGAGGGATGGATTGAGTTTTGCATAAAATCCAACAGTTGGTGAAGAGAAGGCAATTTTGATTTGCTTCTTATACTCACCCTAAAATTGAGAAGGCAATTTTGATTTGCTTCTTATACTCACCCTAATATTTAACTACGTATATAGCTATTTATTTTTTATTGTTTCTTTGTCTTAAGAATTTTTGTTTTAGCTATAGAAGCTGAAACTACATTTAGGAAAAAACTGAAATACAAGTGCAGAGCATCGCATGGAAAGCAAATTACACTGAAATATTTCTACCAATCATCCACTTACGTATTAATATTTTAGGGATTTTTTTTTTTTAAATCTCACAAGTCACCTATTTTGACTGATGTGTACATTTTTATACCCATGGTTGAACATTCTGGATCTACCCTTACAACCAGCATATTGCTAAGTCTTAATTCAAATATTAGGGCCAGTGGACTTGTTCTAAGGCATAATTATCTTTAGTATTATTTTTTTAAAAAACAAGACCAATTATACGAAAATGCTGCAATGCATCTGGATGCAAATCTATCTGGCTGACCATAATAGCCAAGTTACTCAAATATGCGTGAATCTGATCAAATGAAAAATCTAGTTATTGTCAATGTCTAAAATAATTCAGCTATTTTTTAAAGCAAAAATGAATTATCTATAAAAACATAATATGGCTTTCTGAAATAAAAAAACAATTTTTAATATATATTTTATAAATCATCCTAATTAGATTATTTAATTTTCAGAGAAATGATCTTATTTTGTTTTATACTTATTTTTATTTCTGGCTACAGGTATGACCTAACAATGTTGTAATCTCATCCAAATTACACGGAGTAGACAAAGCTACCTAATTTCAATTACTTCAAAGATGACCTTGGAAAAGGTGATGTTGCTCTGAAAAGGGCTTGTACCAGAATCCTAATTATTATAGTGGTGGTTATTACAATAGACTGCCATTAAATTAACTTATATCCAAATTATTTGTTTTGCTTATCCAGTATAAATTCAAGTTCATGTCACCCACTGCAAAGTGCTGCCTTCCATAACCAAACAGATTGATGGGGTGTGTGGGATCATGAATGCTCAAGACTATTGCATAACTCTATTTTCTTGGGCTCTGCATAACAGCATAAAATTCTTCTTTCTCACAAAATCTCTGATGTTTAGTGCACGATCTATATTACACATGTGAATTTTAAGAATCAACATATCTATCATTTTTTCATATTATTTAATCTCAATGGCCTGAAAGATTTCATGTTGCTTTAAAAAGTGACTAGTTTTCAAGATATCAATGTAAAGAATTTGGACGATTAGGCTTATTTGCAAAATTCTTCTGAAATCACATCTCACATTTGTTAGTAATAGTAACATACCTGTGCCTCTTTTTCTCACTTGTCAAAAACAGTTTAAAAAAGATATTTTTCTCATGAGAGAAGTTTGAAAAATAAAGTTTATTTTCATTGTAGTAAATTTCAGTCTCAGGCTGTTGGGGTATAGTCCATTTGTTGTTTTCATTAAATTGTCACCAGTTTGATGTAACTCCTGGCCAGGACTATAGTAGAACAAGTTTATAATGCTTGAAGCTTCAAATCAGAACACAATATTTTTTGAAGTAGCAAAAAGGCAGTGATGCAAACTGGACTGCTCTGGTACAAAGAACCCTCGAGGCACTCTGAGTCTCTATGTAAATAATTCAGAAATACCTGGGCCATATTTACTCTGCGCCAGCAATAAGTGTCGTTTTTGACAAGCCCATGCAGAAGGCACACCTACTGCTTAACCAACACAAAACTCATGGGCAGTGGGCACTCTGACATGAGCAGAGAGGTGTTTGGGCAGAGCTAGCCAGGTGGCTGCAGAGGGCCACACTATATACTAGAGTGGGTCCGATACTTGGAAAATATGTATGTAGAATGAAATATCTAAGTTATATGTATAAGGAAGAGAAATGCATATTTATCTACATAGCTTATTTTCTTTCTTCTTTTTCTTTCTTTCCTTTCTTTCTTCTTCCTCCCTCCTTCCCTCCCTCCTTCCCTCCTCCTTTCTTTCTTTTCTTTCTTTCTTTCTTTCTTTCTTTCTTTCTTTCTTTCTTTCTTTCTTTCTTTCTTTCTTTCTTTCTTCCTTCCTTCCTTCCTTCCTTCCTTCCTTCCATTCTTTATGATGGCATTGGTTAATGAAATTCAATACCTTTCTTTTTTTCAATACCTACAGCACCTGGTCTTCCTAGGTGCTCTCCCATCCAAGTATTAACCAGGCCCGACCCTGCTTAGTTTTCGAGATCAGACGAAATCAGACACATTCAGAGTGGCATGGCCGTGGACTACATAGCTTATTTTCTTAAAGAAAAACTTTAATCAAACTCAACAATCTTGACTACCCTGGCTGATTCTCAGAAGGGTTCCAGTGGAAGTTTCTTCATGATCTTATTCCACACAAATGGAGCTCTGAGAAGTCACAAACTGTGATGTTGGAGGGATCTCAACAAACACTATAACTCAACCATGACTTATCCAGACCCACCTCTCTCTAGCGCCTCCATCACCTGTGATCTCTCTTCTATCTAAATGTTTAAATTACTATTTCAATGGTTCCCTAGGGCTCAAAGCTACATTTCCCAAAGTGAGTATCCTGGAACACCAACCCCTTAATATATCCTATGAGAAGAAGGGGGTTTTCTGCAAGTGAAATACTACATACTATAGTAGTTTCTCTTGGGATTTCAGACATGCATTATCCTTTGTATCTTAATGGCTCTAAAAAGTCTTGCAGTAAAGAAATCTGCCAATTGTTTAATACATAATGTCCAAATTTTATTTGACCATGGAAAAGATTTGAGATGTAACAACTATTTCATATCTTGTAAAACTAACATTTCATGGAATCTATTTTGGAGGTCTCCTTAGCAAAGCGTACTAGAGTCCTAACATACTGGTCTCAATCTGCTTTTTCAGTCTCTTTTGTTGCTCTAAACCATGCCACCACTCCCCTTTTCTAAGCATGCTCTGTACAAAATTAGTCGTTTCTCAGCCATTCGATGCTTTTTATATGCTGATGCCTTTGTACATTCCTGTCTGCCTTGAAGAACCAGCTCAAATATAACTTCTGTGATGTCTTCTCAGACACTTCTTACTCTCCACCGTTCTTTCTTTATAGCCTAGCTCTTCACATAAGTCCATTATCAAACAGTATTTTAACCATCTGTTTCTTCTTTCTGTTTGCTCCTGGGTAAAATAATTTGCCTTAGTCATTAAGTCTGGCATACTGCATGGCACATAAGAGTTCACTAAAGATTTGATGAAAGAATCTACAAACGTGCATTAACAAACAGGCAAACAGACATAAATGGCTCACATAGTGGTTATTAGAATAGACTGTCATGAAATTTAACTCCGATGGTTGTGGTATATGAATTTACAGAGCAAAAGGAAAAACCAGTGAACTTACATCTACCTTGTTTCCCTCTCAATATTTACACTAACTTTCCCCCACCCACTCCACTGACTGACAATAGATGACTAGACTATACAAATGACTTCAAAGATTTTCATGAACCCCTTGGTTGGTGCAACCTGGCTTATGTTTTTCAGTGTCCTTTAGCATCTCACTGCACATCGAAGGAAGAAGTAGTTAAAAGTCAAAGTCACTGTGAGGAGCGAGAGGACAGTGGAAGACAGGAGAACAGAGCACAGATGCTTGTTTGGAAAATCTTCAATCTAATTTGGCATGCTCTCACCCATGATATTTGACTTTAGTCAGTTACCTAATCTGTTCACTATCATCAACTCTGCCATCATCACTTCCTCAAGGTCAAAATACAGTGCCTTTACAAGTGTTTTACTCTGTATGTAGAAGGCACTAAAAACAGGACTTAAAAACAAAACGAAACAAAACAACCTCACTGATTTCTGGGATCTTGTCGCTGCAAGTGCTGACTATTCCATTTGGGATGTTTGGCATTATTTCACAAAGCAACTATCCCACAAACATTTATTGAGTAATTCCCATGTACCAATCCCATGCCAGGAATATAAGGTGATATTCTGTAGCCTCTTTCTAACCTGTACAATTCTTGATTCAGGGTCAAGTCACAGCCTTCAGTGAATTCTTGTTGGGATGTTTGGGGGTGCAATCTATCTTGAAATATTTTTTAAGTTTTCAATCATTTGTGGAGCTCATTTCAGTAGTTTAAAAAATGTAGTGGCATAGAAGACCTCTATCTTTCCTACTCTGCCCATGAGGAAGAGGGCAGTAAAACAAGTTGCCTTCGTAATGTGAATGTAAAAGAGACTCCTAGAATGACTACGTCACTCTTGGCAATCATAGAAACCCACAAACAGGCTTTTCAGATAAATGTTGTGATTCGCCAGTAGCGTGGACTTGCTTCTGTGGATAGTGATGCCACCCTCCATAGCCCTGCTCATAGATGGCTTGACAGAGCTAACCACATGTAGCATTTTTTTCTTGTCCATCATGGTGAATTTCAGGATGCCTTGTAATTGGTGCTCTGGGAAAGACATGTTTAAACTCCCTTCATGTTATTACTGGTGGTTACTATTTCCACTTAAAGGTGTGACTGTTCTGGGTACTACCAGCTAGCAGCAGAAGCAATACTAAGAACACCATGATCTAGCTTTCTTCTAAAGAGCTGAGAAGGCTGAACATCTCATTTCCTTTCATGTCAGTGTGACTCAGGTATGACAGATATCATTAGCCACACTGAGAACGCTGAGCAAAGTGGAGATGAGTGGCTTCACATGGTTAGGCATAAACAGACTAGGAAAGTCCCTTGAGGGTTCTTCCCACCAGACTACTAATTGGCTAATCGACAAAGTTGAGAGAGAGGAGGCTCTGGCCGCTCCAGGACCCGGCTTCCTTCTTTTCCGTGGGTTGCGTTCTCCCGTTAACCAGCACTGCCCCATTCAGAATGTGGAGCAAACTGGAAAAGCTGTTGACAAACACAACCCGTGCCATCCCAGTCTGAAAGCATAGCTCGGAGAAGTAGCACATTTGAACTTCTTACCTAAGCTGGACCGAGTGTTCGAACGTTCAATTATTGCTCTCTTGCTGGGATTATTTAGGACGGACCTCTTAGCAAGAGAAATGTCAGCTGTCACTCTCGTTATTGATATCCTATGAATAGGAACACAGAACAAAACAAGCCAGTAAAAATATTGTGAGGTTTCCAAGTGATTTATAACCACAGTACTTAATAACCACTTTACATACTACAGTGCAACCATAGTAAAGTAAACATTGGCCACAAGTGTTTTAAACAGACTTTGGCTAGTACTAAAATATGAGCAGAGCAGAATGGAGGAAGGTTTTGGCTATTTAACAAAAAATGATTGCAGTAAAAATGTGGCTCTTCCTCCACTATTGTCTGCCTTGCTGAAATCTCTTTAATGTATACCATACCAGGAGGGAATCAAAATATATGAATAAACCATGCTCTTTCTAGGAAGCAGCAATACAATTTACCTACAATTCACAGCTGAGTTGCTCTTGAACAAGACCTTCAGGAGCTATTCAAATGCTCTACCCTGGCTTATTAACACTGCTAGTCAAAGGGGGAAGTCCTCTTCATTTTGATCATCAAAGACAATTAACCAATGGGTAGCTATGTTGCATTCCCAGTGCTTGACAATTAATTCATGATACATGAAGCATCTCTACACAGGCCCAAAGGGATTTTTTTTTATTTCTAAGAATATGAAAAATATGATTTCTTTTCTGCCAGCATAAGATTCTTCAGCATATTTGCATATGACTTTGAATGCATATGGTGTGCAGTCAAAAGACACTGTAATTGAGGGCAATGTGAGGATTGTGCCAGGATTTTGTTAGAAAGTATCCTACAGTCATGCAATGGAATAAAGCAGAGACATTGCAAATGAATGGAGAGACGGGTCTATTTGCATATGTTTTATCAAACGAGAATCTCTGGAATTTAGTTTTCAAATTCTTCATTTTAAACTGAGATGAACAACTTCAGATTATTAGCTACCTGTAGAATGCAAAGAATGTTTCTCTAAGCCACTTACTGCCGCCACAGACCTTTCTCCATGCTTATCTTCACAGATTGGCAGAGTTCCAGAAATGAGACAAGGAGAGTAGTGCCCCTTACCCTTTGCACTGAGTTAGCTCACCTATTCTCCTCCATTTTCAAATTCCTTTGGAGGTTGGAACAGGGAAGAGGTGGAGTTATTAACAATTATTGAGTTATATGTCATCCTACGCTTGTTTTGGGACAACACTGTCAGCTCTCTCAGGAGACTTCACTTGACTTCAGTGACCTGAAGCCTTGGGGAGAATTAAAAATATTCTTTTCCACAAATGGCTAGCAATTGCTTCTTTAAAGTAACAGGCTGTGCAAAAATCTGGTGCCATTTTAAAACAAAGTTACTCCTTGCTTGTATCATTGTATTTATAAGCTGTAGAGGATCAAGAGGTTTAAAATTTTTAGAATTTTGAGGCTCTAATAATTTACTTGAGGCATCTTCAAATTGTCTTCTACAAAAACCAAGAGTTTTGTGAAATACCTCCAGGGCCACTGACAATGCTAAAGGGAAGCTGAGGGCTCCAGCTTCCCCATCCTCAATGCCAGGTGAACACCTCTGCATTTCCATCTTCTACGGAGGGGCTTTGTATGTGATTTCATTACAAAAAGTTGTTCAACTGCTAAAAGACATTGGGAAACACTGGCCAAGTAAAGTTTCTTCATTCTACGAAGAAGAAAACTGAAATACAGAAAGGAAGTCTCATACATTTAGTTAGAGGCTAAGAAGGTCTACAACACAGGCCCTGAATGCGAGGCCAGTACTTAGTCACCTGACTTATACTTCTCTTACAGTTTCAGTTTTCTTCTCCAGCAACCTCAGAGATCTCCAGAGAGGAGCCAAATTATCAAGCGCAGATGCCCAATCTTGGCCGAGTGCTGATATAGATGGTCAGGATTTATTCAGGTGGAAGTTAGGTGACCCCCATATCTGAGTCTTCATTACTCAGTTGGCTGCTGCAACTTGAGGCATAAAATCTCACAGGCAGCCCTTGCAGGTCATAGCTCCTTTTATTTACTGAATAGGGTTTGCTTGTTTATTTTTGTTTCTGTTTTCTTTTTATTTATTTGTTTGTTGTTTTAAGAATAAAGCTGCTAGTTAGAAACATACAGTCAGAGCAACTCAAATATCTGACTGGAGGCAAGTGGGTTGGTTTAGGAACAGAATTCAACTTTCTAGAATAATTACTTTTGAAGAGCCCAAAGAGTCTATTCTGCTTAAGTGAAAATCAAAATTTTCTAGTTCCATACAAGCCAAATAGTGGCCCTAGGTTTATAAAATTTTAAGGGACTACAAATAGATGAAAACTTTTATTTTTTCTGGGTTGTAAATACTTTTACAAAGCCATTTCAGGACACGTCTAAACTTTTACCAAACACACACACATACACACACACATACACACACACACACACACACACAGAACAAGAGAGAGAGAAAAATTGCCTCATATATTCCAAAAACAGGAAAAGGTTTGGACAATACAGGGTTCTTTTTCTTGTTTTACTTGTTAATAAAATACCAGCTAATCTGTTACTACAAGTTATTTCTTAACTAAAGTACACACATGAAAGAGCTCAAGAAAAGATAGACACAGCCATAGAAACCCTTTAATAAGACAAAGCAAGAGTTTCTAGTTTCTAGGCAAAGATGCTTACTATTGTCAACATCAGACACCAAATCCAAACTTTTTAGAAAAGGTTCCCCAGCAATGTAATTACATTCACATTGAATGCTAACTAGATACTTTTTTTTTCCTGAAAGTGATATCCTTTCTACTTTGTTTTCCCTTGCTATACTCACACCCTCTAATGTCTTTCGGCACTTCCACACATCCTGTTTGACATATGTCTCCAAAAAGTTCCCTTGGAAACTTTCCTGTGACATAGCGTCTGTAATTAGTAGTCGGTAGACAGGAGACTAATAGAAGTCCAGTTACTCAGGAGACTGGGTATAGCAGCCAATGTCACTGAAAACTAGCAAAAATCATTCTCTAAATCTAGCAAATCTGAGCCCCAACTGTTGCTTATTTCTGTTTTGGAATTCATCATAATTGCTGCAATACATCATGAGCTATGAGTATTAGTTTTCTGTGATTTTCTATGGAAAGATATTACTTTCAGTTACAACACATTCATTAAAAAATAATTAGTATTTCCATGTTGGTAATAGAACACCTGTAAGATCCTTCTATATGCTATCCTTGCTACAACTAATATACAACCCTGTTAGTATATTAATTTTTTTGAGTCCTAGTATTCATAGAGAAAAATGTTCCAAAGAACAGACTGTCAAGACAACAGGGATGGAAGGCAGACACAGACCTGAGTATTCTTCCTGCATCTTTCTCTTGCTAATTGCATGACCACGGACAAGTCAGGCCACACTGTGAGCATCAGTACTATAATCAATATAATCGTCACAGTAGTTTTGCCAAACTATGTCACAGGATTGTCTTTAGGAGCAAACAAGGTAATATATAAAAGTGCTTTCTTAAATCATTGTTCATAGTGTCCTATGTTGATAGGCACATATATCATCTATGTAAGACAATTATTGGAGATTTGCAGACTTGAAAAAGACAGTTTCTTTATATCCTATACTCAAAAGTTAGCAGTCTACCGTGAACTCTCCCATCACCAGAGTCCGTAAAATTGATACATACTTTAAGGGTGGGCGTTCAGGTTGGACATATTGTAATCAAAATCTGCTAATTTAAATATTCATGCTTGTCATTAAAGTGTTCAATTAATTATCTCTACTGTTTGTTCACCGATGAGTCTGCATTTGAATAGAGAATGGGAGGAAGAGGTCATAAGAGAATGATATTGATTATGAAATGGAAGGCACTGTGCTGTTCTTTTTCATTTTTTGACTGCAATTACAAGTTGTTTTCATTCCTCCATGGCTTGGCTGCTTTGTGACAGCATCAATTGTTCTCATTTCCTTTCATAAACAAATACTACTTCGAGTTTATGTAAATTGTATTCTCAGTCTCTTTTCTTCAATTCTTTCTCAAACCCTCTTTTTTCCCTTTAAGTATTCCTTTAGCTTCAGATGTTATCTGCATAAGTTATCTGTATAAGTTACATAATATTAATTTAGGATTTTGGGCCATGATCATATCAGTTACAACGTCTCCAATAACTAACATACAGCTGATCTGATCAAGTTGTCAAAAAGCCTAAAGTAACAACTTTATTGAGATTTGAAATGATTAGCATAGATCAACAAATTAATTGCAAGTAGTTTTGACTACTTGCTCTTCAGTCTATGAATGGCAGAGTCAACCAGCTGAACAAACCTCATCCCAAAGGATGACCCCCCCATATATGTTTGTGGTGTGAAATGAAGAAACTAAAGCTCTGTGCCTTTGTGCATCCACTGTGTCATCACCAGGCTGATGCCACTGTACCAGCTTGTTAGGCTCACTTAGTTTATGATCTGGGCGCAGGAACTGTCATGATGTGTGAATATCCACATCTACAAGGATCCTTCATAAACCACTTTATATTATGCTGTTCATTTTTCTTACATGTATTATAGTTTGACCCTACAAGAGCAGTTATAGTAATACTATTGTATAATAAGTAGCCCTAAACTGACTCAAATAATTTCTAAGGTATCAAAAAAAGGCAAGTATATGATTCTGTAATAGTCAAACTGTTGGACTTTAATCCAATTTGTTAGATTATTTTCTAAACAAGATCTGAAAAACAGTATTGAAGAAGAAAGCCTCTTAGCCAATAGATCCTTTTTTTTTCTCTTTTTGAAAAATAATAATACTTTCTACTGACTATTTTGTCTAACCTAGTGCATTCATGGACAATGAGACAATGAGTAGGTTTCTAGTAGAAAATATTGTTTATGCTATGTCACTGTGCTAAAGCCTTCTGTATAATTATTCTCTTGTCTGGTTTCAGTAAGAGACTATTTGCTGTTTTCTCTCCTTTATTAATTGGTAACACAAAATGTAGCAGATTGTCATAGCTCAAAACATAAGGATAGGCATGTCAGAGTCATTGTGAAGCTACAAACAAATCTTTTCTTCCTTATCAAAGTCTCCACATACACTCAACCAATGGATTTATTTTTGATTCTTCTGCTGCATGGACCTCTTATGATTCAAAAGCAAGTCTACTCACCTACTCCCATCTTTAGTATCTACCTTTCTCCAACTGTGCTGTGTATCAGATCTCTCTGAGGCTGAGTCTCTCTCTTTCTCTAGCTACTGCTTTTGCTATTGTTGGATCCTTCCTCAGATCTCTAGAACCTCTGCTGTGTCATCAGACCCCATAGCATTGATATTGTGATTCTATTTCTACTAACACCATCATCAATAACGTGTGTAAGTGCTCGATGCAGACAGCTCTACCTAATTCAGAACAAATCTCTGCTGTTACAATTAACAGCATTTCTGGGCCTGAAGATTGAGGTAGAACCACAGATCCTTCATTCTTGAAAATAGTAATTAAATCACTCATTTCTTCTTTGCTAAATTATAATAATTCTTTTCTTTTTTCCCATTGGGCCTACATTTCAAAGATTTAACATTGTTGTTCATAAGGATGTTATGTGGGGATCAAAACAATCTAACACAAATTTTGACTGTGTTATGGGATGAAATTTGTTCAGCTCAAAGGCTTTTATCCAGTTAGAACTTCCTTAAGTAAAGGCATCACAGTTTAAAATCATGTGACTTCAAGCATAGCTGAAGGATGTGTGCATGTGCAACCAAGAACACAGAAGACTGAGCCATGCATGTCAGCTGCCTCCAATACATGGAGACCAGCAGGAGGGTAAAAGTTATGGCCCAGATCATCAGAGGGCAAATTCCAAGACTAATAATGTTAAGTCAGAATCAGAGTTCAGCTGTTTCTCAGTAATGTTTCTTAAGAAGAGAATTCCCAATTGCCAAAAGTTTTCAGACAGAAGCAGATTATCCATCTGTTTGTGGTTATTGAAGAAAAGAAATTAGAATAAATTTTATATTTTCCTCCAACTTCAATATTCTGGTATTCAGTGTTATCCACTTATTTCCTTTGTAACTACCTCATTCTCTGCCTTTTTTTTTTTTTTTAAAGGGGGGAATAGGATAAACCCATGGCTTTCTTATAGATCTTGGGTCCACTAGATGAAGGTGGTAGACACTGTTATTTGTTCTCCTCACCAGCTGATTGGAGAGACCACCCTTGGGCTGAGGGCCCCAAAAGATGGGCAGAACAAAGTTTTTGCCCAGTCCTTTCTTCCCCTCCTCTACCCCTCCCTTCTGCTCAGCTGAGGCACATCTGCCGCAGACTGTTAAATGAGCAATAATAAGCTTCCATTGTGTTTGAATCATTATACATCTTGGGGTCTATTTATTAAGACATCCTGGGCTCTATTAATGTGCTTAGCAATTCACACAATTGCAGTGAAGTATTCTGCTTTCTTGAACTAAAATCTCAATTTATTTTCTTTGTATATAGACTCAGAAATAATGAATATTTTAACACAATTATCCAGAAGGCTTTTTTTTATGAATATATACAATTTACATTTAAAGCATTATCATGGGTTTTTTTCCTTAAAATACCATATTTGTTAAATATTTGGCAAGTAGGATGCATTTAACCATACTTTTTAGTACACACTATTAAAATTTTCTTCATTTCTAATAAGTCTTCAGCTATTTTCAGGTGATTATTTTTACATGGTGTGTACCCTGCATTGTGAAAGAGCTTAGTACTTACTATTGAGTAAATATGAACTTTTTATCATTTCTCTGCACAATACAGAAACTCATTTGAGATATTTTTCACAAAACTTGAATGATAAATTTATCTGATAGCTAAAGACTGAGCCATATTGATAATGGTGTAGGATAAAGTAGACCAATAAAATAACAAGATAATTTCTACTAAAACAAACAGAAACTAGACATCTAAAGAAGTATTATTCCTTACAAAATTGGGAGGCTTATAATGAAACCATTTCTTGCCCTCTTCTTTTGAGGGAGTCGATATACACATAATATGTAATTCTTCAATGATATTACCCAGCTTGACCAGTGAGCCACCATATTTATCAAAAATATTCTATATTTTAACTGATAATTTTCATAAAACAAGTGTGGTATGAATTCACTAACAAGTAAGAAAATAAAGACAAACACATACATTTAAATAAAACAAATAATTTCCCTTTTCAAAGCCCCCTTTCCCGTGGGGATTCAATACTATACTTCATAATGTCATAGTTTCAGAGCTCTTTCATTCTATTCTCCCTGGAATATTGAGTTAACTTTTAATTAGAGATCTTTTGCAATCTCTGGAAACAGATGCACAAATCAATCTATTATACATGTTTGGTTAAAGAAAAATAAAAATGCAAAAATATCTACGTCTCACCTCCCATCAAACCTGTGCTTCAGGAAATCAAAGAGGGCTTTCTGCATCATGTCTGTTACCTTTGCAGAGGTGAGAGAAAAAAGAATGAGGCAAACACACACAGAGAGAGAAAGAAGACAAAAGTGAGACAGGTGGAAGGGAAAGGCACTATGACTGACCAAAGGCAGCCAGTCCTCTTCTGAGGGGTAGGTTACCGTGGAAGGTGTTTTTCATTCTTAGCCACTTGCAGTTACTAAATTCCTCCCCCACCCCACTTTAGTTCTCCTCCAGAGTGTTGAGGAATGAACCAGCAGTGTTCACTAGACCCAAGACAACCCCTCTTCTCTTATTAGGCGTTAGAACTGTCACCCAGAGACCACAATAGGCTGGCTTTGTACCCAGGTGCTGCCTGTCCTTAGCACACTTGAGTGGTGCTCGCCTCCAGTGAGGAGCAGCTAGAACCCCTCGGGCCAGCCCTGGGTTTAGCAGTCCTGCTACTCTGCATGTTGGTGAAACGGGCTGGATGTCAGTAGACCACTTTCCTGCTCTTCCTCTGACATTCTCCACTGAGAGAGGGAGGGGAGGGGAGAAGGAGACAAAATTCTTAGATCTGCCTCAAAAAAGTTTATTGCTTTATCCAACAAATGTATACTGAGCATCTACTATGTGCCAGACATTGTCCTAGTTCAGTGGGAATGGTGGCCTGGAGGTTGCCTGCCTTTAGATTTTAACGTCCCGCAAATTATCTATGCTAGCACAAAGTCAAAATGGCAACATCTGAAATGTAGTATATCTAAGTCTTTATTCTTTTCCTTCTTACATAGTTTAATCTGTGAAGATGGTCACTAATAGTTTTAGTGGAGTTTTTCTTTTTCCTTCTATATATCTCTTAAAATAAATAAGCAGAGAAATATTTGGAATATGCCATTGACTTGAGATTTGCTGGTGCTTTTAGGGTTTAGTTTTGCTGGCAGACTGCCTATATGTTCCCTCGTGCTGTTTATACTCTATTATTTCTAATAGTAAAGGCAACTGTTGAGACAGATAAAGTCTTTTTCTTTCAATTTAATGCAGAGCAAACCTTTGACCAGACCTTCCCATTGTAAATGTTTTGAGGGAGATATTTATTCCTAAACAGTGTAATACATAACCGATGAGAAGAGTGACAGAAAGGGGAGAAAGAGCCAAGAGCCACATAAGCCCCTCCCTGCACCACCTGCCTTCACATGCTGAGAGGCAGCTTTCATTGGTACTTTAAAGACCCTACAGGAAAGCAGACCCTGAAGGAGCCAGCTCCAAACGTCTGTCTCTTAGATTCCTGATCAAGAACTGAAGCATAACAAACTGGTATTTGTACCTCATAACCCTTCAGTGACGGCCCCACTAACACCACTGGACGCATGGATGGCACGACATCATAAGGAGGAATGTGCTCCGTCTGAAAGAGACGATGTGACACGTGTTACAAGGTGAGGATAAGTACACCTCCTCAACAGCCACTACATTCATAATTCTCAAGTCAAACGAAAAATGATTACCACAGGTCCCCACCGACGAGGCCCATTCCTTATTTATAGTCATTTAGGTCACTGAAATGGAGTATTGCAGGCATAGATGGATAGAAACCTTAATGGCAAATTTAAAAAGGAAACACTACTTACCACTTTTTGCTTCTGTTTTGCTAAAAGACAACAATAAGAGCCATATCAAAATATGTAATCTCTGTAAATGATAGTACATGATTTTAAAAGATGGAAGAATGTACCAAATTGTCCTTGTAATTCTCATCATTTCACCATCGCCCACTCTGGAGAACACTGTTCTATTATTTCATTTAGGACAGGCCAATTTTGAAGACATTAAAAACAGACAACTTCCTCCCTGTACGAATGACCTTGTATCCTGATTTCATGTTGGTTGGGGTAGGTGGACTTCATAATATCGGAAGTTCTGGGCCAGCATGGGCCATGGGTTGCTCCCCACTGAACACAGCATAAGGTGTGGCTGAAAACAACTTGGACAAATAAAATGTGATAAAAGGAAACTTAGAATAACAATTTGGATAAAAATGATCGTCGCTTCAATCACTCACTATTTTTGGATTTGTAATTTGATGAACCGTGAGAAAATTTTGTGTTCTTAAGTCTTTTTGCTCACTTTCTAGGATATTGACACATTTTTCCTACCAGGCTGCTTTTAATTTCAATTAAGTTTATAACCACTTGTTTCTGTTCTTTCTTGTTTGAAATAGCTGCAATACCCTAAATGTCCAAGAAATGGGGATGATGCAAAATGTACTGAATATCTCATTAAAGTGGTTTTGTGGTCATCTAAGCAGGTCCAGTCCATGTGGGAGCAAACCTGATACCTGGTTTGGTTCAAAGTCACCCTAAGATAAGGAAGTATTCACAGGAAAAAGAACCCAGATACTCAGAGTTGTTCCAGAACCAGTCCAGTCTCCTGCAGGTATGGTAGGACAGAACAGACCTTGGACTTGTCATTCCGAATTAGTAATACTGGATGCCCTAATGCAGCATCAGTTCTGAGCCAGAATGAAATAAGCCTATAGAAGTCAAGGAACGCAGCAGAAGAAAAATTCCTACTTGAATACCTCCACAATTTACAAATGCTCAACATCTCCTGATTGGACCACCACTGTTCTTTCATTACTATTAATTCCAGGGCTCAGCTGTCTGCTGTCTGAATAGAATTGAGGTCATCTGGGCCCAGCTTCATTCTCTGCTTCAACCCTCCCATTCTCCACAGCCTGAGCTGTAACAACGCATTTTAAAGTTTCCCACGGAGACTGAAACAGACCATTTTCTTGAGAGTCTACAACTTTTTTAAAAAAATTGGCCCTCACTATCTTAAAGTCTGTTGGGTTCTTGAACGGAATAATGAATTTGCTTCAAATTGGTTTACACAATGGTGGGTAATTTTCAAAATTATATGACAAATATCTGAATTTTTAGTACCACAAGTATCCTTTAAATCAAATCTAATTACTATAAAAAGCAAATGAATAATGAAATATCAAGTAGAAAATATTTAAATTGAGCTTTTAAAATTGTTTCCAAATCAGTAAAAATACCTGCATGTATGTTCAAATATTAAGTAAGGAATATATTCCATTAAAAGATTTTTTACTAAAGCCCTCACCTGTTGATGTGGGTGTTGCTCGAAATGTCCCTGATACCATTTCTCCAAGACTTGAAGAAGAATTTCCACTGGATTTCCTAGGATATGCAAAAGGAACTTAAGAGTCATTCCACAGATTCCTTGAAAATAGAACTTGAAAGTACAAAGCTTTTTTTGACCTTAATCTTACTAAATAATTCAAAACACACCAAATCTTGCTATAGAGAACTTCAAAAATCTGTCCAAATGTTTTCTTTGACCTCATTTCTCAGAAAAAGTGGGGGAACTAACTGGGACTTGGAAATATTTTGCAAAAATATCTTAATTATTCAATGCAGAAATCAGGCAGAAGAATCACTGACAGGAAAGTTCTTGTTAATGGCTTGCTTAACTAACACTGGTCACCAGGGCATCAGTGGGATGTCAACACAGTTCAAAACAAGCAGTAAGTCCTGAAAGAAGCATTTCTTCTCAGAAGCGAGTGCGTGTGTGTCTGTGTGTGTGTGTGCATGCGCACGCGCGTGTGAGTGTGGAGGGTGGTCAGAATTAATATTATTTGTGACCCAGAACAGAAGATCATTAGCCCTGGTCTCCCCATGTGACTCCGGTGGCTTCCCTGGAGCCCACAGTGGCCCTCAGGAGCTCAGCTTTCTATTTCTCCAGTGTCCCTCCCTTCCAGTGCTTAAAGTATGGTCTGCAGAGTCAGAGCAATCTGATTTCTCGTGCTGGCTTTGCCACTTAATTTTCATGGCACCCTGGCACATCATATCACATCTACAGAAGGAGAAGCTATACTTCACAGGATTAGTATAAAGATAAAATAAGATAATGTCTACGGCTCTTGGCTTTACTCTTATATCTGCCACAAAGTAAGCTTTTAGTTCAAAAGAAAATAATAATCTTATAGAATAATAATAATAACAATAAACTAACAACTTTGGAAATGATGGCAATAGTTCATTTATTATTTCATTCAACAAATATTGATTGATTGAGCATCCACTGTTCTAAAAGTTAGGAATACAACAGAATGGGGGTGGGAGGCAAAATCCTTTCATATATTGAGACAGATTCTAGTGGGCGATATCAGGATCAAACAGATTTAAAAAAGTAAATATATAATATTTCTGACAGTAATCAATGCAACAGTGAAAACTAAGTCAGAAGAGAGGCAGTAAGTGGGTACAATTTTAAATATGGTGACAGGGAAAGGATCACTGAAAAGGTGATATTTAACAAAGATCTGAGGCAGATGATGGAGTGATCTGGTGGAAATGTGAAGGAAAGGGTTTCCATAAGAGGTAACAGCAAGAGCAAAGGTACTGAGGTGGAAAGATGTGTTCCTGATGTGTTTAAAGAGCAGCAAAAGAGACAGAAAGTCTAGAGAAGTGGGAACATGATGGATTAACAGTTTATAATATAATTGACATGTTATATACTAAACAAGATGGATAACTAAAAGCAGGGCTGACTGTACTTTTGTGATCTCCTATCACTATTTAAGAGGTTCCCACATGACAGAGGCAAAAAGTTCTCTAAAGAGCAAAGGAGTTTTTGAAAAGGATCCAAGAGAAAAACGAGATTGAGAATCAAGACAAAGAACTGCTTCTATTCTAGGACATTCAAAAAACGATAACATCAAATCAATGCTTCAGTGTAGCCTCATAACATGAGCAGGTTCAGTAGGATTCCGATTTCTTTTAAATTTTGGTGTATTCCTAGGACCTTTAAATATCTGCACTCTGAGATCTACGTGGCTACTTCATTAGCTTGCTAGAGGCTGATGCATTCGAAGCTAGGCAGAGTCTTCACCCCATTACCAAGAGATGGCACATGCCACAGAAAGCCCTGGGTGGAGAAGGTGCTGCTAGTACTGAGACCTGCGTGTACCATCACATTCTATGTCGACTTACAAGAGAGTCTCAGAAAGGAAACCAAGAAGAACCATGATTACAGATCAAGTCAGGCTTCCACTTCCTGTACTGAGAAAGGATGCCCTCCATGACTCTAATGAAGGAAGGCTTAGGTTCCAAGGAGAGTTTTCTGAGGCTACGGAAAACTATGGAATTCATGTCGATTCTAGTAATGCCAGGAGTCAAGAAGAGTAAACTATCTGAAATGTTCAATTTCAGAAAAACACCTTATACACACAAAAGTATACATTATGGAAAGCATATATGATGAACCTAATGAGCAAACCTGAAAATATCGCCTAATGTTCCTACCCCCACCAAAAAGAAAATGAAAAGTTTATAGAATGGAAGAAATCTTACCCTCCATGAAAACGTCCTCTTTTTTGTTCTTGCTGAATCCGTATGTTCTCTAATCTCAGTGGACTTGGAATAAAGCCAATCTCACAGCCCTCTTTCACCAGCCTTCCTATCCACCAATCATTGTTATATTTCTGGAATGCAGAAATAAAATTGCTATCAATAGTAATTCATTTATCTTCATATTCCATTAATTAATTTCAGGGGGCTAGAAAAATGAAACACTATTCATATTATATAATATTATACTATATTAT